CCTCGGATGCCGCTAGTACGCACACGGAGAAGCTCACTCGGCAAGCCACGCCACGCCACAAGAACCTCACCAGCCGTACCACCGATTCATCAGTGGTGTTCTGAAGTGCACTTCGACTGATCGGTAATTTCCTGCCAACAGTCGTGCAAGCCGCTGGTGCCAGACTGTCTAATAGGAGCGAAACACGATTCTAAACACGAGGTTTCTATTTTAGGCCCGTGATTGAATTCAAGAGTAATGTGCGTATCTCCCACTGCCCCTGTGAAAAAGATCCGACGAGACGCCGAATAGAATCAAACTTGTCTCAGCAGACCGACCATGCGATAGGCAAATGCTCTCTCACATGGTTTGGCCGTGACAGCGGAGGATGGAGCCCGGAAAAGAAGATGACAGGCTACCTTCCACTGGTTTGGCGTGACGGAGGGAGCAGACTGCGGAAAACTGCGGAAGTTCGCAGCCCGTCAGGGTTGCGTTTTTCCCCCCAGAGAACATTTTTCTTCGTCTTTCGTTATAAGGTCGTTGGAAGGCTGGAAAAACAAGGCACGACAGTTTAGGGGGCGGTGGCATCTTATTTGGTGGCATCTTATTTGAAACTGCAGACGTCGAATAGACTTTCTAGCCAACCTCCCGGCCTTCCTACCCGACACGAAAAACCTGGTCATACTAGGAGACCTCAACACGATATTAATCCCAGGATTAGATTCATTGTCAGTTTTTCCCCCCAGACAGGACGCAGGTCTCTTAAACTCTTTGCTGGATGCTTATTCATTAACAGATGTGTTCCGTACCTTAAATCCCAAGCTAAACGGCTTCTCCTGGTTTGGGGCTAAGCCAGCAGATAACACCCCAGCCCCAAGGAGCAGACTAGACTTTATCTTAGCACGAGGCTCTCCTTGGAACACCTGTTTTTGGTGTGATGTAGTGCCAGGTACAGAATCATTATCAGACCATCATCCAGTATTGATGGACGTAGTCTCTGCAGAAGTCATTCAAAGAGAGAGACCCCCATTTAGGCTGAATGTAAACATGCTCAAGGATGAGGGTATCAAGCAATGGGTAACAGACCAAATGACAGTGTGGAACACTACGAAAGACTTATTTGAAGACCTGTTGGAATGGGCGGAAGTATTAATCAACATAATTAGGGTAGCTCTTATGCAATTTTCTAGAATGAAGTCAGCAAATCGGACATGGCAAGAAGTAAAACTCAAAAAGGAAGTGGTCCAGGCGGAAAGCCAAATGGGTATAGACCCATTTTTGGATTTTTTTTGGACGGAGAAGCGGAAATCARCATTAATGCAGTTGGAACAGCTGGAAGTCAAGAAACAGGCCGAATGGCTGGAGTGGCTAAAGGTCCGAGGAATTATCGGTTATGATCGAATGACAAAGCTATCCTTTAGATCGYTAATACTGCGGCAGGCGAAGCCATTGATAAGAGAGCTCCGCCATCCCTTCACGATTGATCAGACCCCRGCTTCAGATATGGCGTCCATGTGTGCAAATGCCTTTGACTATTTTAAAGATATAGTATCTACTAGACGACCATTTGATACACTGGACACAGACCTATCAGTCTCCAGCCACTTCTGGGACAAGACCTCAACTAGGGTCCCGTACTCAGCGGTTCGGTCATTAGATGAACCTTTTACTGTCGCTGAACTGGGTAGGGCAGTGAAGCAAATGACCCTGGGCAAATGCCTAGGCCTTGATGGACTGCCCGTGGAACTATATTTAGCCTGCTGGCCAGCCTTTGGACCCTTTCTCTGTGATATATTTAACAATGTCAGGACGACAGGCAGATTACCGAGTGATTTTTTGAAAGGAGTTATATCATTACTATACAAAAAGGGAGATAAGGCCGAAGTCAAGAATTACAGACCAATATCGGTTTTAAATGTAACTTATAAAATATTGGCCAAAGCTTACGCCAGTAGGCTCGCGGACATACTCCCCCTCTTGGTTGGACAGGAACAGGGGGGCTTTGTTAAGGGGAGATCGATATTTGAAAACATAATGTCTACCCTTCAAGCCCTCGAAATAATATCTAAAGAAAGGAGGGAAGTGGATGTCCTCCTACTGGACATGGAAAAAGCCTACGATAAGGTGGGCTGGACTTTTGTCCTTACCACCTTATCGAAAATGGGCTTCGACCCCCACTTTTGCAATAATGTTAAGGGAATGTACGTTCAGGCGAGGTCTGCAGTTATTATAAATGGACATCTGTCGGAGGACTTCCAGCTGACCCGTTCGCTGCGTCAGGGATGTACCCTAACCCCTTTATTATTTGTTCTCCAATTAGAAATTTTATTGGACAATATCCGTCATAACCCGAAAATTGTTGGATTGAAGATCCCCTCTACCATTCATTGGAAAGGGGGGAGCAATTGCTGACGATCTAACAATTGTCTGTGAAAATTCAGTCTCAGCCTTTACTAAGCTTAGGATAGTGTTAGATGATTATTGTCAGTTGTCTGAGGCATCTATTAACTGGGATAAATCCACATACTTTTTCCCTGCCCCCTATGAGATATTTGCCCAATGGGGTTTGAAGCAGGTGCCAGAGGGATTGTCCGAACGCTTCCTGGGTGTTCAAGTGACACTATCTGATTGCTCTGCAGGACAAGACAAGATTCTTCAGGAGAAAGTCTGTGCCCGTATTACGGGTTGGATCAGAAATCACAAATTGTCACTTTTTGGGCGAGCATTAGTTCTATCAGCGGCAGCTTTCTCCTTGTTGTAGTTCCCCCTGACTGTTCATTGGTTGGGCGATGGAGCCTACTCAGCAATAAAGAGGGTTGCTGCACAATACACTTGGAAGCCTGCAGCCACAGAAGATCAAGGTTTTATTGCAAGGGTGGCATGGGATAAATTAACCTTCCCCAAATCAGAAGGGGATCTGGGTATTCTTGACCCTAGAGACCAAAACATCGCCTTGCTAGGGAAATGGGTGATCAAAGCTCTGATGGAGAATAAAGAACAAAAGAGTTGGATACTGATGGCTAAATATATTTTTAAGAGGGACTGGTCACTCAGTGATGGTGGGCAGGTGTGGGCTTGCTTAGTGCAAACAGACATGGGAAGGAGAAAAGTAAAATCCAGAATATGGACTGCAATTCTTAAAGTCTGGTCAAAGATACGGCCCATACCACTGAATCAGCCTTCCTCTAAGTTGGAAGTAGCTAATCAAACCCTGTTTGATAACAACTTGATTAAATCGGAATCAGGCACCCCGTTTTCAACAATGGGTGAAATGAGAGGCAGTTTTGCCAAGTCTTGGATAGAAAAAGGTATCCTTCAAGTGAAGCATCTTTGGGACGAGGACAACCAAGCCTGGTTCTCTTACGAAGATATTAAAAAAATACTACCCAGAATTCGGTCAGTAAAGGATAACTTCACTGCATTGTTGAACACGATCCCTAGTTATTGGGAGGGTGTGTTGAAACAGGAGTCTGAACACAGTCATCTTACATGGTTGGTAGACCCTTCAGCGACAAGATTGGAGGAGGTACTGAGAGTCCTGGGTCCGGATCTTCATCAAGGGACGAGGGTTGAATGTTGGGGGGTGGGTAGAGAAGGGAAAATGGGGAGGGAAGTTTCCTTTGTGAAAGAAAAGACTATTGATACTACAAAGCAGTTAGTAGAAGTAAGAATCTGAATGGACAATGATAAGAAAACTGTTCGACGAGGAACATTACTGGATGGTGAGGCTGCTTCCTATAAGGTTGATCCAACCCTCTTTGGTTGGAAATCCAGTAAGGGAAAAAAAAACCCTCTTTGTGCATATGTACCAAGGACTGGGGTCGCATCATGTCGATTGAGAAAAGAGCAGCCTGTGGACTTGGCGGTAAAAAGATTCCATAAGATTAGGGGGACTACAGAAAAAACCCCGGATTTTCCTCTGTTCTGAAAAATTATGAGGAGAATCCCGTCTCAGAGGCAGGCGAGTTTAATGTGGACTTTATCCATGCAAGTGACAACTTCAGCTTTATGGCTACATACTAAGGGCATGGATTTGAGCATTACGTGTCGACGCTGCAACTGGGGTTGGGAGTCTACGGAACACCTATGGCTATACTGTCCGCTGGCTGATGAGCTATGGATGTGGTGGAAAGCCTTTTGGGATGCTCAGGTGGGACCGGACTGGGAATGGTCAGATGATTGGATACTTTTTGGTAYCYCGCSAGGCAAGGCAAAGCTGCAAGAAGGYTGGGGCTATGTGGCCCTGACCTGCAGAGGTATACTAATGGAAGTAATATGGAAGTCCCGGAATGCTCAAGTGTTCAGAGACGAAACGGTGGACATCCATCAACAAAAGACAATAGTGAAGTCGTTGCTGAGAACAACCATCAGAACCGAATGGAATCAAGCAAGGCAGAGAGCAGGACGAGGGAAATACTGGTTTAATAAGACACGGTCTCTCAAAGATGTACTCTGCGAGACTGACCCAGAGAACAAACTCTGGCTGACCCCTTGGTTGTGTGACTAAGTTGAAGATGTAGAGATCGCTTTAGATCTCGTACTATGTGTTCAAATAGCATGAAATTTTGACTCCGCCTCAATTATGTGATTTGGAGTTAGTCTGATCATGTTAAATGTATAAGATTGGCTTCTGAGTCGTTAGTCATGGAATTATTGCGACTCAGAGGCAGAGGGACATTACACACTTTTTTCACTTAGCGTCAAGTATGATTTTTTTTGGAAAGTACTGTTGGTCTTGAATGGGACC